GCTCCCATCAATGCGCGTTCAGGCGGCGGAAGTCGCGGAGCTCGGGTTAGTGGTGCGAGGGCCCTGACGCTTCCCTCACGCGTTTCTGAGTCGCTGGGCCGCAGAGTCCAAGCTACAGTGCCAGCGTGCAGGGCTTTTCTCGGCCGTCTCACTGCCAGAGTATTTTTAAGTTTCCCCGAGAGAGAGCCACTAACTAGGGGGGACCGGACGCACTGGTGGGCAGACCCTGACGGGCTGCGCCGGGAGAGAAGCGGTTGGTGGGCCTTCCTCCCGGTCGGACCGACTAATAGACTCGGCGCACACCTGGTGTGAGCGGACCAGTGAGGACAGCGCCGCCCGGTGGGTGTCGGGGGAGGGCGCGGAGGCAAATGAGCGGGCTGCTTGCCGGTTTCCCAGGGTTTGAAGGCGGCTGTCAGTTCCCAGTTCTGAGGTGGAGAAGGGCCCTCGTTGAAATGAAACTGGTGGCTATAGTAAGGGTTTTCTTTAGCCCGAGAAGAGGGTTTTCCGGAGAGTGCCCCTTACCTTCATCACAATTTGGTTGCAATGGGCGGTGAAGTCAGAAAGGAAGATGACTTCATGTAACAATTGAGGATTGTTTTGGTGAGGCTGTGGCTTCAAAGCCTGAACTGTGTGATCTTGGAACAGCCTTGTTCTCCTGTGGTAAACACCGAGAACTTGTTCCGTTAGGGATTTTTAGTTCTTTGAGGACAAAGCTCTCTGTTTATGCCACTTTGGTGCATTTTGGAACCTCGTGCATGACCACGTTGCTAACAATATTGTGTTGTTAACCTTTGAGTTCTCTTTGGTCCAGTACCTGTTTTACAGAAAAGGTAACATCCATGGTAGGTCACTTCTCTGAACCTCTGCTTGGTAGGGTTCTTGTGTTTATGATATTGATTTCCGAGGAGAAGGGAGAGGGTGAGAAACAGCAATGATGAGAGAGAAGCCTTGATCAGCGGTTCCTGCACGCCCCCTACTGGGGATCCCGCCTGCAACTGGGGCCTGTGGGCTGGCGGGAATCCAACCCATGACCTGGTTTATCCATGCTGCTCAACCACTGAGGCACACCGCTGGGCCCGAGTTCTTTCAATGTAATTATTATACCTTATGCATAAATTAATGAGCATTTATGGAAACAGCAGTGAGTTAGGAAGTTCTAAGACTTGCATTTTAATTTTTTATATCTTAACCTCATTGATGTATTTTGAAGTGAATCATAGACATCTACATCAGCCACTTCTACCTACTTTAGCATGCATATCTGTAAAAGCATATTACTATAAGACAAAAATATCACATTTTAAAATAAATAACTTCTTAATGTTATCTAATATTCCATCTTTAAATTTATTAAGTTATCTCCCAGATGTCCTATGTCCTGTTTTGTTATACCAGGATCCAATTAAGGACCAAATATGTTTTTGGTTATGTATGTCAAGCCTTTTAAGATATAAAATAGCCCACCCCCTTTGTTTTTCTTTCTCTGATTGGCTAAAGAGTCCAGGCTTTTTTTCCTGTAGAATAGCTCACCTTTTAAATGTTTGATTACTTTCTCTTGGTGTTTAGCTTACTGCTCTGGTCCCCACATTTCTTCTTTTTAATCCTCACCCAAAGATATTTTCCCCATTGATTTTTCTTTTATTATTATTATTTTTTGTTAATCCTCACCCGAGGCTATTTTCCCATTGATTTTTTTTTCTTGATTTCAGAGAGGAAGGGAGAGGAAGAGAGAGACACATCAATGATGAGAGAGAGAATCATTGATCAGCTGTCTCCTGCACCCCCCCAACTGGGGATCAAGCCCACAACCCAGGCATGTGCCCCTGACTGGAATCGAACCCGGGGGCCTTCAGTCTGCAGGCCAAAGTACTATCCACCGAGCCAAACCTGCTAGGGCTCTATTAATTTTTTTTAGGGAGAGTGGAAGAGAGAGGGCAAGATAGAAACACATCGATTGGTTGTCTCCTGCACGAGCCCCAAGCAGGCCCCGGGCTGAATTTTAGAGAGAGTGGAGCGGGGGGAGAGAGAGATCAATGTGAGAGAGACGTAGCCATTGCCTGCCTCCTGGGCCAGGAATTGAGCCTGCAACCAAGGTACATGTCCTTGACGGGGGAAGAGAGACCCTTCACTCTCTGGCCCTCTAACTACTGAGTAAAACTGGCCAGAGCTGGTCCCTGCATTTCTAATAAACCTGGACATAATGCTAAAGGTTCCCCTAGATTTGTGACATCTTAATCTACCTCATGTAACCTTCTGTGTTTTTGTTTGTTTATTTTGCTTTTCTCCTTAAGACAAAGTAAGCTGTGAGGTGCTATTTTGGTTTTCTACAAATGTCTAGCCGCCATCATCCATTCACTTAATGGTCCTAGCAATAATTGTTAATTCTTGCCTGACTCAATTTTATTAGGGGTTGAAAAATGATAATTTCTAATTCTTTCATTTCCATCTATATTTAATAACCTGCGTTATTCTATTGAGTAGAAGCTTTCTTTCATATGCTGGCAACATGCAGTTACCCTGAAATACAGTTGTGGTGGCTACAGTAAGGGTTTTCTTTAGCCTGAGAAAAGGGTTTTCCCGAGAGTGCTCCTTACCTTCATCACAATTTGGGAAGGGGTTAACTGGTTGCAATGGGCGGTGAAGTCAGTTACCCTGAAAGACAAAAAAAAAATTAGTTCTTTTACTTACCAGTTTTTAAAATAATGTGGTTCAAAGAGTGATAAATGAGTTTTTCTAGCTTTTATCTTTTCTGAGCATCATTATGTTCTAATAGATTTGGGTATGCTTTAATCATTCTTTCTGTTTTTCAATTTTTGATGCTTCTACAATACCTCTCAAAGAATTCTATGTAATTATTATACTTTTTAAATATTCTTTGAGCATTTTTTTAGTAGAAGTAATATTGGACTGGTGGGAGGATTAGGCTGGATTTTAATCTTTTTTCTGTTTTGCTTTTGCCAAGGTCTGGCTGGGTGACCTTTAAACAAATTGCTTAATCTTTTTGGGCCTCACTTTTTTCGTCTATACAAATAGAGTTTTGGCAGCTCTGTTGTTCTCTGACTTTAAAAAACAACAATGATTTTATGAACTACTAGAGGCCTGGTGCATGAATTCATGCACGGATGGGGTCCCTTGGGGTGGCCTGCAGAGATTGGGCTGCAGCTCGTGCTCCCAGCCTTGCAGCCCTGCAGTCTCGCCTGGCACCCTGCCTTGGCCTGGCACGGCCTCCGGCCTCCTCACCTGCTACACCATCCTGCCTGCGGGACGATCGATCAGTGCCAGGCTCCCTACCCGGCTCCCTCAGATCCTGGGAGATGGGCGGTGGGCCTACACCCCTGCTGCTGCCGCTGGTCACCGTCTGCAGGGTGATCGGTGGGACGATTGGGCCCCTGCTTGCACCCGCCTTGGCCTGGCACCACCCACTTACCTGCTCCACCATCCCACTGTGGTCCTGCTCTCATCAGGGCCCATTGGGGTCAGCACCGCCTCCACTGCCACCCACTACCAGCACCGCATTGCCGACACTAACCACGTTCTGCACCACCTCCTGGTGGTCAGCGCGCATCATAGTGAGTGGTCAAACTCCTGGTCTCCTGGTTGAACTCCTGGTCAAACAACCGCCTGAAGGTATAATTTGCATATTAGGCTTTTATTATATAGGATATTTTGCATATCATAAAATTCACCCATTTCAACTATATGTCAGTGAATGTTAATAATTTACTAGATGGTGCAACCATCACTTTAAATCAGTTTTAGAATATTTTTATCTCTTTAATAAGATTCCACATGCCCATTGACAGCTAATCCCCACTCTTATCCCCAGGCAACTACTTATACTCTTTCTGTCTCTATAAATTTGCCTTTTCTCAACAGTTCATTTAAATGGAATCATCTACACTAACAAAAGAGAAACATGGTAATTGGCGTACGACCACTACCCTTTTCATTGGCTAATCAGCCAGATATGCAAATTAACTGTCAGCCAAGATGGCGGCTGGCAGCCAGGCAGCTTGAAACTAACATGAGGCTTGCTTGCCTCAGTGACGGAGGAAACCA